CCTCATTCTTTCTAACAAAATGCATTACCTCGCATTTCTCCACATTGAAATTCATCTGCCATGTGTCTGCCCATTTTACCATTCTGTCTATGTGTTCCTGCAGTTGGCTCCTATCCTTCTCACTGTTTACTACCCTACCTAACTTTGTGTTGTCCGCAGACTTGGAAATGGTACTTGCTATACCCAAGTCCAGATCATTTATGTATATTAAGAAGAGCAGTGGTCCTAATACCGATCCCTGGGGGACACCACTGTACACTTCCCTCCAGTCAGAAAAGCAACCGTTCACCACAACTCTCTGCTTTCTGTCTCCCAGCCAGTTCTGGATCCGTGCTGCCACTGTCCCTTTTATACCATGGGCTTCTATTTTTCTTACAAGTCTTTTATATGGCACTTTGTCAAATGCCTTTTGAAAGTCCATATAAGCTACATCACTACCTTCGATCACCCTCTCCATTACCTCATCGAAAAATTCTGTTAGATTTGTTAGTCAAGATTTGCCTTTAACAAATCCGTGCTGGCTATCCCTAATTAACCCATATTCTTCTAAATGAATATTTATTCTGTCCCGGATTATAGTTTCCAGGAGTTTCCCCACTACTGATGTTAGGCCTACTGGCCTGTAGTTCCCAGGTTTGTCCTTCTGCCCCTTTTTGAACAGGAGAGTAACATTAGCCACTCTCCGGTCCTCTGGCACCACCCCTCTGTCCAACGAAAATTGAAAAATTGTAGCCAAAGCCTCCGCTATTTGTACCCATGCCTCCCATAGTAATCTTGGCTGCATCCCGTCCGGGCTGGGCGACTCATCTACCTTGAGCCCAGTCAACCTTTTCAGTACTTCCTCTCTGTTTATACTTAGCTATCCATTTCCTCTACCCTCTCCTCCGATACTGTGGTATTTGGTGCATCCACTTCTTTTGTGAAGACAGATGCAAAGCACTCATTCAATACATCAGCCATACCCTCTGCCTCCACAATAAGATTTCCACCTTGGTCCTTAATTGGCCCCACCCTACCTTTGACTAACCTTTTTTTCTTGGTATGTTTGAAATATTTTAGGTTTTCCTTCAATGTTACCCACTAACTTTTTTTGTATAATCTTTTTGCCCCTCTTATTTTCTTTTTCAGTTCTCTTCTGTACTTCCTATATTCTATTTGGTTGTCTTCTGTATCTTGGGCTTGACATTTGTCATACGACTCCTTTTTCTGCTTCATTTTAGACACAATTACCTTCGTCATCCAGGGAGGTTTGGATGCCCTACTTTTCCCTTTTGTGGGAATGTATTTGTTCTGTCCCCAAGCTATATCGTCCTTGAAGATTTCCCACTGCTCTTTAGTTGTTTTACCTGCCAATCTTTCTTTCCAGTCCACCTTTATTAGGTTGCTTTTTAACTCACTGAAATTAGCTCTCTTCCAGTTGAGTAGCTTCACCTTTGATTGTTCCTGTCCCTTTCCATATGCACTCTGAATCTAATGATGTGATCACTATTGCCTAGATGCTCTCCAAAACTAGATCCAGCACTGCTTCCTTCCTCGTTGGACTAGAAACGCACTGATCAAGAAAGTTATCCTGCATGCATTTTAGGAATCTTTCCCTCTCCTTGCCCTTTGCGTTGTTGTTTTGCCAGTCTATGTTGGGATAATTAAAGTCCCACATTATCACGACTCTGTTGGCCTTGCATCTGTTTGAGATCTGCTTGCAGATCTGCTCATTTATTTCCTTCCCACTATTTGGTGGTCTATAGTATGCCCCTACCAGCGTAACAGCTCCTTTTTTGTTCCTTAACTCTAACCAAATAAATTCTGTTTTGGGGCCCTCCAGCACCTTGACCCTTTCCACGGCTATAACCGTATCCTTGATTAATATTGCCACTCCTTTTTTTCCTTCCCTATCCCTCCTGAATACATTATAGTCAGGAATATTCAGCTCCCATTCCTGTCCTTGTTTGAGCCAAGTCTCTGTTACTGCTACTACATCATATCACCCTATGACCACTTGAGCTTGCAGTTCACCAATCTTGTTTGCTAAACTCCGTGCATTTAGGCACATGCACTCCAAGACCAACTTGACCTGTTCTGTACTCCCCCCCCCCCCCCGTTTTATTTCTCCATCTTCTTGTCCATTGTTTTTTGCATTCCCTTCCCCCCTCAAAACTAGTTTAAACCCTCCCCTGCTGCATTAGATAGCCTGTCATTTGCCCCAGCTCTGTTTAGGTGTAACCCATCCATTTGGTACAGGTCCCACCTGCCCCAGAACTGGTCCCATGATCCAGAAACCTGAAGCCCTCTTTTCTAGACCATTTCTCCAGCCAAGCGTTCATATGCTTGATCCTGCCATTATGGTATTTATTTGCCCGAGGCACAGGGAGTAATTCAGAGATCACCACTTTGGATGTTCTATTCTTTAGTTTGTTCCCCAGCTTTTGATATTCTCCCTTTAGCATCTCAGCCCTTTTTTTTAACCAATTTCATGGATCCCAACCTGGACCACCACTTCTGGATGTTCCCCTTCCCCTGAAGAATTTTATCCACCCGTTCCGTGATGTCTAAGACCTTTGCACCAGGGAGGCAACATACCATCCTTGACTCCCATCTTCGGTTGTAGAAACGCCTGTCTAAACCTCTCACTGTTGTATCCCCTATGACAACAGCATTGCTCCTGTTACTTATGTCCCCCTGTTCAACCAATCGTTTTTTACTGTTCTCCCTGGGAATATCAACACTCTCAATATTCAGTACAGAGTACTGGTTTGGTAGTGCTACACTATTGGGGGCATTCTGCCCTGCCCGTCCCCTCTTCCTACCATGCCAGATAGTCACCTAGTCACTTTCCCTCTAAACCCTTGGTAGCTGTGGGGTGACCACCTCCTGAAGTGTCTGGTCCATCAAATCCTCACATCCGTTGTACAAGTTTGAAGCCCAAGGCTCCATCACCACGCTCTCGAGGGTTTCATAATCTGCTGGACTGATAAAACTATCCAATCCCTGACCATTAACCAGATGCAAGGAGATGATGTTACTTATTCAGTTTCACATTTCACTGTTACTGCTTCAATATGTTTCTGTTCTTCTCCCTTCTATTTTTTTTTGCTCCTCCTCCAAGTATGGTTATAGGGGGGCAGAGAGGCAATAGGGTGGTTATTTAGGTGTTAACCAGCTTGGCATGTGCTGCAATGTTGGAGCTGTCTTTCAGATGATATGTACTGTCCTATCTGCTTGTTTAGATGGAGGTTTTGGATCCCACAGCACTATTCGAAAAGAGAAGGTTGTTTGTCTTGGTATCATGAGCTGCAATCTCCTATTTTAAAAAAATAGTTATTCACTTCATGGCTGTTTTTGAGACATTATCTTGTGCAAATTGGCTGCTGGATTAGGGAATACACAATCAATAGACTCTAAAGAAAACTGTAAAACATTGGGATGTTTTGACTTGATTTGCGCTGTATCAAATACAGGGATTATTATTTATTGTGGGAAATTGAAAATGACCCTTGTGCAGTTGTGAGCGCACTTTGTGTTTGGGGTTCAGGCACATTGTTGGAGTGGAGTCTGTCTCGTGCGGTGGGGGAGGGGGCAAGAGGAGGTGATTTAATGAATAAAGTAATAAGGCCTTGTTCTTCAAGTGCCATTTGCAGTCTTAAGTTAGTAACTGGTTTCCAAAGTTTTTTGTTCCTGTTTTGTCATACTTGTGAGGTATGCTTGTTTAATTGCATATAATATTTTGGATTTTTTCCTTATGAGTAAGGTTTATGCCATTTATGAGTGTTTTGCATAGTCATAAACTGGAAAAGCAAAGTTGCTGGTGCATAATTGTGTAAATATTGTATGACTTGCATATATTAATAATGTACTTTCACATTTTTTCTGGTGGCACTACAATAAAGGTTACCATGCTCTGGGCATGTAGTCTATTGTTGACAAGGAGAGAATCTTTCCAAATTAGATATTTTCTGTGAGCTTTCTGGAACGTGTGTAGCCAAGTGGAGTGAGAAATGAGAAATTTGCAAATTGTAGCCTACAGCTCTGTAGCCTCAACTCTGCAGCTCGTGTACTCTCACACACCGTGACCCCATCACTCCCACCCTCGCTCAACTCCACTGGCTCCCCATCCCCCAGAGGATCGAGTTCAAGATCCTCGTCCTCATCTTTAAGGCCTTCCATGGCCTTGCCCCCACCCACCTCTCTGACATGCTGACTCCCTACCAACCTGCCCACTCCTCTGTTCATTGGGCTCCGGCCTGCTGCATGTCTCCCGCCCTACCATCGGTGGCCGGGCTTTCAGCCTCTCTGCCTCCACACTCTGGAACTCCATTCCACGATCCCTTCGCCTCGCTTCCTTCCTTGCCTGCTTCAAGGCCGGACTCAAGACCCTCCTCTTCGACTGTGCCTTTGGTCTCGCTCCCACCTCTCTGCCTTCCTTCACCCCTACACCACCCCTCCCCCATGCTCGGGCCCCGATGTGAAATGCGCTCTATAAATGTAATTTTGTTGTTGTGTTGTTGATACCGTCAGAATGTAAATCATATTGAGGGTATCTCACCTGTTGTTGCAGAAATGGTTGTGACTTTTAATTAGTACATTTCGGTGAAGTTTACAAGATGAATTCAGGATCATTGTACTTGTGGACTGATCCTTCCATCCCTCCACGGCCTTGTCCCACCCTCTTCTGTTACCTATTGCAGCCTTATGAACCCAACTGCCCCCTGTGCTCAGTGACCACCTGCCTGACTCGCCGTACCCTCGTCAGCTTTTGACACCCCCATCTCAGGCTCTCGGCCAGTTCTGTGAAGAGCTTTGTGATGTCCTGTCTTATGTGAATGGCGCTATATAAATGTGAAATTGTTGTTGAAGATTTTGCTTAGCTGGATAAAGTGAGAAAGGTTTGTTTCTAATGAGCACAATATATCTTGTGTAGAAATATTTTGCGCACTAAATCTTGTAATAGAATGATGTTCAATAGATTCTAGATACATGTCCTCATAAATTATTTTTCTTCACAGGCAACTGAAAGTATATTTCGAATGGCTGTAACACGAGGTCTCATCAATCCAATTAAACATGGAGAGGTAAGAGCTGTTTATGATATCTAAATACTTGTATTATATTTTTGAATATATATTGAATATATTCATCTCTTGTCAGAGGATTTCTTGACCTTGCAAGTTATAGAAAGTTACAGAAAGTTGCTGACCATAGTGCTAAATTAGTTTGAATTAGGAGTAGTCATTTGAAGTGGCATCCAGGAATATCGCTCACTTGCAGTATGCTTTTGATTTATATCCATTTGATTGGATGCATCTTATTCCTTCACCCACTGAAGTGAGTGAGAAATGAGTTGTAGCCTCTACTTCCCAATAATTGGAAACTAGGGCATTAACAAACATGTTTTTGATGGAATAGTTGAACATTAGCAGTATTTTAAGGCCCAAGGGCTGTCATGGCATTAGCTGTCAAAGAACCGAACAGGGCTGTGAGAATGGTTCACATTGACATGCTCAATCAAATGATCTTTTGTTCTTTGGATCATTTCTGGTACAAAAATCATTGGTGTTTTTAACATGCTCAAGTTTGGAATCCTATTTCTCCATTTGTTTTGAATAGGAGATGAAAAGCTCAAGAAGAATAGAACATTCAAATAACTATATGTAGTGGGAATTGTGGGACATTTGTGCTACCCCAAGGCTTCTAATTGACAAAGTGATGTTTAATCAGTTGCTTAACCTATTAAGCATCTGATTAAACATCACTGACTGATTAAAAATCAACAGGTTTGAAAATAAGCACAGAAAACTCTCATTTGGATATGCTTGATAAATAAACCATATTTAAAAAATTGGACACTGAGCAAACAGGTTTAGAATCTGTGAAAATGCAGCTTTTCATTTCTCAATTTATACTTTACAACTAAATGAAGTAACCAGAGTTTTACAGTTTAACATGATGTTTATAAGCCGTCAGTTGCAATGCAGTGAAGTGAATTCAGCAAAGTCTATGAGGAAGTACTGAATTGCTGCTGTGTGTACTGAAGAGCTATTATGTACAACTCATAAGACAATTTTATAATTGTACACCCTGTATAATGAAATATTGTGATTGGTGAATTGAGTACTTACACAATGATACTCAAAATACTCTAAAATACACTTTTGGTTTGAAACCAGAACAATCCTCTTGATTGTAAATTTGTTTCTGGTCAAGTCCATCTGAGAAGAAAGAGACTTTTAGTTCTCTTATGTATTCAATGTGATTATACAAGATCACAAGATTGTTCTGGATGAAGAAGGCCCTACGGCCATCCGATCTCATCCCTCTAAAATAGGATTGTCCAATCCGTTAGCAACTATTCACAGAGTGAATTGGGAATCCACATGTGGCGAAATTGCATTTTTGATGCGTAAATAAAAATGAGTAATAGACACCGTTGTTGGGCATGTGATCTCAATACTCATAGTTGCATGTGTACTTTGACCTTTTTGTACATTTGTTGAAATGGTAAGATGAAAAGCTGTGAGTGTTTTGTGATCATTGTGTACTTTCCTGCCTAGTTACTGTTTATTGGTTATCTGCTAAAATGAATCTTCTCTCAATAACAACTAGCATTTTTATAGTCCCCTTCATGCGGGTAGTGTCTCGGAGCACTTAACAGTGGCAGAGCTTGACGCTGAGCTGGGGAGAGAGCGGAGGTGACTGTAGGCATGGTCAAAGAGGAAGGTCTTCAGGTGTGATCTGAAAACAGGGAAGGAAGAGGCAAGGCCGAGGGACTGAGTTCTATGGTGTCGGGGCAAAGTGGCTAAAAGTACGGCCATTGATAGTGGAGCGGAGGGAACGAGAGATGTGCAAGAGGCGGATAGTGGAGTGGGGTATAAGCATGTCAGAGAGGTTTGGAGTTACCAGGACATGAAGTGATTTATGCACGATTATAGGGATCTCTCATGACTGAAGATCTAGATGTTGCGCTTAGCTCATTCCTCTAACATTGGGGATTATCCAATTGGCTCCCTTCTGCACTCTTGAGTCTGGACAGGCTGCTTATGTTGCGGTGACCAAAATTGTATGCAAGGTTCAGTTTCTTGTATTCTCACTGTATAATATGAGAATAAAATTTGGAGATCTAAACTCAATCTATATAGCCCAACATCCTGTTTGCCTTGTCGATTCCCAGGAGGGCAAAATTTTGGGCAAGTTTCCTGGCACCACACGTCTCTGTTTATCTAGCAGTAAGTAGGAACCCGTTTGTTAGTCGATTGGTGGATCGCTTTTCTGGGGGTAATAATTCCCCCCAAAAAAGTCACTAAATCCATGAATGTTTGTGGTACACTGCTGTGCACAATTGGCTGCCACATTTCTACCACAAAAATACAGTCAATTCACTTTATGGTATATTCTGTGAAGCGCTTTGAGACGTCTCAAAGATGTGATCGGGTGCTATATCAAATGCAAGGATTATTATTATTTTTGAGCTGCCTCGCACTATTTTGATATAGTGAGTGACAAGTCAAATAACACCCATACATTTTTTTCAGCTTCCCTCTTGGCAATTTCTGTCCGATCCATAGAGTACTTGTGTTTCCAATTTTTGGGTAATAATATGTATTTATCAGTATAAAACTTGATCAACAGTTATCAGCCCACGTGCATAGTCTATCAAGCTCCCTTTGTAAGTCCTTTGCTGCTCCTCTGATTCCACAGTTCCCACAACTTGGTATCGAGTGCAAAGAAAATTGTTGATGTTCTCACTCTGTTTTGTGTGAATAATATTTAATTGGATCACATTTAAAATAATAAAAACATAATTATGAAACCTTACTTGATACTAAATAATTCCAAGGAAACATTCTGTTGTGAAACATTCATGATATCTACATAGTATTTACAAATTCAAGTACCTGTTGACAGATCAGGGCTTTGGTGTTGACAGTTTGCAGGGACATTAATATGTGTTGCAATATAGTTGTTGCCAATTCTCCAGTAGAAAGAGAGAGAGAAACCATGCCATGGTGCTAAATTTACTTTGACCCCAAACAAAGGCTGTTAAATGACTCATTGGAAATTGGTCAGGGAATGGCTTTTATTGTTCATGGCACAATGTTACTTCAGTACAATCCTGTTACAACATGCTTCATTATAACCCGAGTTTGCTTATACTGCAGTTGTGCAACCCCAACATTCACTTACCAAAAAAAATATTGAACTGAGTTGCACCTCCAGTATAAATACTGATCTACTTCAATATAAAATACTTAATTCTGGGGTGGGTGTTGGTGGGGGGGGGGGGTTGTATATATTTACTTTCTGCTGAGTATTGCATTTGGAATTAGTTTGGAACAGCAGCGTACAGAGTTGAATAGGTAGTATTGTATCAATATTTCTGAAGATCAAAACCAAATCTATATTAATTTAGTTAAACATAACAAAAATTCTTAAAGACTGAAATTGATCAGTTGCTGTTTTTGCCCTCAGAAGACCTGACTTTAAACTCATCTCTAATGTGCCTTCAGTTACCCACCAGTGAGATGTGCAAACTGCATTTAAAACTTTCTTTCAGCTTTAGAGTTCATCCATGAAAATGCCTCTGCCTTCAAGACATTTACGCAACAGGTTGATTAATGGAACCTATTGTCCCAGGGTAGACTGACGAACCCAATGAAGTCAATTTGTGTATTGCTTTATAACCGATGTTCAATGTCCCATTGGACTCCAATTAGTGTTGAACTGGGAGGTCATGCACTGCTGGTTAGCTGTTTGTCACTATCAGAAATATTGTAATGTAGAATGTGAAAATGATCTTGTCCATTAAAGGCCTTCATTTAATGGGATTTGTTAATACATTTCTAATTTCAGTACTTGCCTATTCTGAATGTATTTAGTTCAGAAAAATTAACATGAGAGTTGATTAAATAACTAGCTGTATTGGTTGCAGCTACGCTTGGAACCAAAGGATCCAATATGGAATGTATATTGACACACAGACAGACAGACATTTCATCTTGATCTATACTCATCTGGAAGGATTCCTGTAATAGGACACATTTTGACCGTGCCGTTCTTTGACTGGGCAACTCATTTTGGGGTGCTGTTGCAGTCCTTTCAGCATTGAAGTGTAACCGCGCTGTTATAAATAATCCTTACATTTGATATAGCGCTTTTCACGTCTTCTAGACGTCTCGAAGCACTTCACAGAATGTACAGTAAAGTGAATTGACTGCATATTTGTGGGCGAAACGCAGCAGCCAATTGTGCACATCAGTGTCTCACAAACAGTCGTGGATTGAAGTGACCAATTTATTGTTGTTTTTGTTTTCCTGAGGGATTATTATCAGGCGTGTGGAGTAAGGAATCTTGCCCAAGGTTTCGCCCTACTAGGAATCGAACTTGGGAGGCGAGTGCTGTAACCACTGAGCTACAGAACTCCACCGTTCTTTGTTCTTTGTTCTTCAATTTCACTTAATGGGCCTTCTCCCTTTTGACAAGCACTTTTACTTATCCTTGAAAGGTTTGATTTTCGCTTAGGCATCTTTATAATGATAAATATAAATGTATAATTTATAATCACCGGGACGTCCTCTCGACGGGAAAGATGCTTTGAAAATGTAATTTTGTTGTTATTGCCGCGGCTTAGCTTCATTTGTGTTCTTTATTTTGTTTCTGCTGCCACATGGCTCGATTCGTGCTCTGTGATGCAGGATGCCATAGCACCACTTCGACTCAGCAGCCACCAGGTGTAACTTCAGTGAAAAATGCAAAACTGAAATACATTTTAGATCATAAGTCATGAACAATAGGAGATACTTGAAAACAAATATGCCCATGTTATTCCTGGATGCAAGACCTTTCTGATGAGTTATAAATGAGTTTGTGGAGTCCTGTAGCTCAGTGGTTAGAGCACTTGCTTTGCAAGCGAGACACCTGGGTTCAATTCCAGGCAGGGCGAAACCTTGGGCAAGTTTCCTTACTCCACACGCCTAATAATAATCCCTCCAAAAACAAAAGCAATAATAAATTGGTCATTTGCTGCGTTTTGCCCACAAATATACGGTCAATTCACTTTACAGTCTATTCTGTGAAG